TTTCGCAGTTCCATTCAAAAAATTGACTTTTCTAGGTTACCCATACTCAAAAGTAGACTTCTTTTTCTTTTTTACAAATTTGAACGTAAAGATTCATGCTCACGTGTCGTACACATTTGAAATGTGACTTCCCTGAAGTAAAGTCTTGAAAGATTTTCAGGCAAGGATTGAGAATTTTACCAACTATTTTTACCTTCAGATAAGAAAGGAACTACGTAATGAAGAAAAATAAAGTTAAAAGAAATAGATCAATATATTTGACGTCTAATAAGTGATTAATATTATATCTCTATCTAAAACTTTTAAAGTCGTGTAAAGAACTTTGGGATACACCACCTCAAAAGCTAGTTCAAAGGGTGAGAGTGCCCAAGGTCTTATAAAGGCCATAGTAGTTGCTCATCCAATCAATGTAGGACTATATATCTCGACACGCCCCCTCACGCAAGAGCCCTCTTGGCTTGAAGCGTGGATTATGCAACATGCCCAATCTTTGGTTTACCTTGTGTGCTTCCACTTTAAAGTGGGGGGCGGTGAGGATCGAACCTCAAGCTCTCATACCATGTAAAGAACCTTGGGATACACCACCCCAAAAGCTAGCTCAAAGGGTGCGAGTGCTCAAGGCCTTATAAAGGCCACATTAGTTGCCCACATAATCAATGTGAGACTATATATCTCAACACGCCCCTCACGCAAGAGCCCTTTGGGCTAGAAGCGTGAAATTGCACAGGCCCAATTTTTGGTTTAGCTTTTTGTGCTTTTTATTTTAATTCCACTTTAAAGTGGGGGACGGTGAGGCTCTGATACATGTAAAGAACCTTGATACATCACCCCAAAAGCTAGCTCAAAAGGATAGGAGTGCCCAAGGCCTTATAAAGGACACATTAATTGCCCACACAATCAATGTGGGACTATATATCTCAACACCCCCTCACGCAAGAGCCCTTTGGACGAGAAGCGTGGAATTGCACAGACTCAAATTTTGGTTTTACCTTTTAGTGCTTTTTTTATTTTAATTCCACTTGAAAGTGGGGGGCGTGAGAATCGAACTTGTGACCATGTAGTCAACTCAAGCTCTGATAGCATGTAAAGAACATTGGGATACACCACCCCAAAAGCTAGCTCAAAGGGTGAGAGTGCTCAAGGCCTTATAAAGGCCATATTAGTTTCCCATCCAATCAATGTGAGACTATATATCTCAACAAGTCGTAAGTATATGGATTTTTCGCACTTATAATTCTCATTTGGTCCATATGTCAAATCACTATAAAATTTGATATCGCTCACACTTAAAATTCTTAATCTTATACTATAGAATTTTTTTCCTCTAATATGAACTAAAAAGCATCTCATGAAATAAATTAAAATACTCATATTTTTTCCTTAAGGGGGCGTTTGGTTGGTGGGGTTTTCCAGGCAAATGAAGATAGGTTTTTGGAAAGCATGTATTTGGTTCACATGTAGAACGCTGAAAACCCAGGCAAACCAAATGCATATCATTCCCCAATTTGTGCCTTTTACCCATCTATCCGCACTGTTGAAAAAGCTAATTGAGAGGTGGGTTTTTAGAAGATAGCCGGCTAGATGGTGTGGCCCCACGACAAATGAGACCCTTTTACCCTCTAATCCGCTCGGTATGTTCTTGGTGGCAAACACATGCTTGTTCCTCGTCACCCCACCCCATCAACCACAACAACTGTTGGATATATGTTCTTTTGGTCACTAAAGTCCTATTGGGCTTCAGTGAAACTTGAGCCCATGAGGCTTAGGGTTGAGTTATGTCTAAGACCTAAGCGTATATATTCATAGTTTTCTCCTCTTGTGCCTCCAAGGTGAATAGATCATCAGAAACAAACCCCAAGAGGCAGACGTTCATCATCTGAACGGTTGCCCACACAACCATCTCATCCTCCTCGAGAGATCGTCTGGAAGATCTGCCACAGTCCAGCTTCAAGGAGGTTGTTCGTGCTGCGGCGCTGAGGTGAGCTGTTCGTGAAGAGGAATCCTACAAGGGAAGATTCTACACGACACCTGCGCACCGAGAGGTAATTGTGAAACAAGGATGATTCGGTAAGCATACCAATGTACTAGGTCCTAAACCGCTTCCGCATAAATCTAAGATTTCCTTCAACAACAACAACAACAAACCCTTCAACCCTGGTTGATCCAAATCCGCCAAGACGCAGGTGGCCGAACCAAGCTGTGTTACCCTTTCTTTTTTTCTTTTTCTTTTTCTTTGGTACATCCAAGGGGCAAGGCCCCAAAAGCAAGAACAGCACAAACAAAAAACTAAAACCAGAAACTACAGAAACACAAGAAAAAATAGAACAGAAAGGCCAGAAAAACTTCAGCATCTATGACCAGAAGACAGATCAGGGCCTTGGTCCAAAAGATCAGCTGCAAGAAGATTGAGTAGCTCACAGGGGGGAGAGAAAATTAAATTCAGACCATATGTATCATCCATGGCCTGTTTCGCATCTTCCACATCCTTAAATTCGTTGGAGGACAAGTGGCAACGCATTGGCCACTTGTAGTCCTAATGGGATATTTGGTAATAAGGTTAAATTTGTAATTTCCTCCCGTTTATCCATCTAAATTTTACCCCAAACCAAACATATCTTTTCTAAAAGTTACCTAATTTTCTCAGTAAAATTTTTCTCCACCAAACAACTTTTTTTTACATTTTCCTATCTATCTCACTTTCTTTCCATTTCTCGACTAATTCTATTTTCCTAGTATTAAAAAAAAAGTTCCTCAACCAAACGCCCCCTAAAGAAGATGCTATAAATCTTCATAGGATCGATTTTGATCCAAGTTGTATTATAATCCTTCCAGAGGAATTCAATAATCCTATAATTGACTCCTGTTCTTTGAACACGCATGGCATGACGCATATCCACCCTTCTGATTTGACCCAAAAAACAAAAGGAAAAAACAAAAGGAAAAAACAAAAGATACGACTCCCTTTGAACCAAAAAAGAAAGATACAACTAACTTGAAGCTCAATCCAACTTTCACATTGCTGTTTTCTTTTGAATTTTGACCTTTCAGCGAGGAAATGCACGCCATGACGCCACGTCGCCGCCACCAAAGCACCAACCACTTCCAGTTAAATATTTAATTATTTTGGGTTTGATATTTTTCCTTTTAAAAGATATACGTTATATTATTTTAAAAGATAGATAAAATAAAAAATGAAAATGATGAGAGAGAAAGTGAGTGAGTTTTTTAATTTAAATTTTAAATAAAAAATATTATTTGTTTCTATCTTTATTTTAAAATGACATAATTTCATATCATTTAAAATGATAAATATTTTTTTATTATATTTTTTTTAATATTTATATTATTATATATTCTACCGTTGATGACAAATAATTTGCGCATATTTGCATATGCTTTTCAGTAACTATCAATTAGATGTTCTTAAACTAATTCTCTTAAATTTATTAAATACTTAATTTATCAAATTAATCATTAATTTTTATCATTGTCTTAATTTTTACTCATGTAATAGTATTTTACATTTTCAAAGATTAAAAAATGATGATTTATTTAATAAACTAATATGATCATATCGTAATTTTACGATATTAGTTTAAGAATTTCTTCTAAGGCAATAATATTCTTGCCGTCCTTGACGAGTCTGAACTCAATGAAAAAAAAAGTAGCAAACTTTACTCTTTCTTGTTATTTTTATTTCTTTTATTTTATTATATTTTAATGGTTTTTTTATTAGATTCATCCGGTGATTGTATTTTGTAATTTAAAATTAGTGTACGTTCAATAGTACTTTGGTTTCACTTCTATGAGTTTATTTTTATTTATTTTGGTATAATATGAGTTTAATTTTAGATTATGTTAGTTTATTGATTGGTATAATCATTTGCGTAGTATTTTAGTTCAATTCAATTGAATTGACGGAAAAAAAAAGTTAATGCTGTCAAAAGAACTTTTCAAATTCATGCAAATCATTTTGAACTTATTTTCATAAATTAAAACTAATAAAAAAAAGTCTCTTTAAAAGTTAAAAATAACTTATGCGTCTTGGAAATGTTTTCATCGTAATTTCTAACAAAATTAATATTGACGAATGATAAAAAAAAAAACTTATTGTAAAAGTTTTTTTTTAAAATGTTTATTCAAAAAAAATTAAAAGTAGTTTTGTTTTCTTCGGTTGAAATAATATGGATAAATTCACTCATTATCAATAGTTGGTGATTTTTGGAATTTTAATAATAAATGTTTTAAAACTTTATACAGTATAAAATTAGTAATTCTTTATAAGTAAAAATACATGAGCAATTAAGAAGTTATCACCAAACATGTACATCAATTGGGACGCGATTGTTACAATTTAATTAGTAGTCTCGAGCTTCAATTTGGATACGTAGTTATATTAAAAGTTTGATCGAAATTTTCTTATTATTTTTATGATCCTATCCAACTCGAATCCTGATTAATCTGTGCAGAATGATTTATAAAAATAATAATAATTAAGAATCTCCCCCACACTAATAATTTTTTTTTGTATTTTACACGTAATAAATTTTAATATACTGATACATAAGTTATTTTCATGTTTAATTAATAATTAATATTGTATAATTTCAAAAAACAAAACTCAAAAACATTAAAATATTAACAAGTTATTATAATATTAATAAAAATTATAGACTTTTTTTATTTACATATTTTTTAATATTTAAATTTATGGGTAAATGTAAGAGTTATATTTTATTCAATCATTATTCTATCTATTGATTAATGTTTATTAGTTTAAATGACCTTGAATCATTAGATTTAAATCCTTTACCCCATTAAGGAAAGTGATGGTTTATGGATTTAAAGATCAAAATACCGATTTTGAGTTTTTGTGAGAAAGTATGAGGCCCACGAGAAATTTTAAGGCCCATGAGGCCCATGGTTACGTTATCCAATTCTTGTTGGTTCGCCGTTTGTGTAATCACAGAGACAGTGTTCTTTGTTCCTTCTGCGGTGGCTGAATCTTCTGTCACTCTGCTCCCAAAATCTTTCAAAACAAGAGAGAGAGAGAGAGAGAGAGAGAGAGAGAGAGAGAGAGAGAGAGAGAAGCTGGAAAGTTTAAGTTACATAACATAATTGAGATATTCATATGCTGTTTCCACAAAGTTATATTATATATGCATTCTGACTGAATGAGCTTCTATGCCTTTGTTTGGTTGGTACACTCTCTTTTGTCTCATGGGGTGTCCCCTTTTATGCTTAAAAATATTTTTTTGTATTATTATTATTATTATTATTATTTTATAACATATGATACTATTCATATTGATAATCTGTTTTTTGGTCATCAGAGATTGCAAATGCACACCCCTTATTCCAATATGGAAAACTATCATCAGTTTCTTTTGCCTTTGCCTTTGGCAATGAGAAGAGTGTTGTTTGTGCTTGGAAATCCTTGGATAAACTTAAAAAGGTGAACTTTAATGTTGGGGTTGTTGATTTTAGAAGGTGTAGACTTATGGCAGTTGCTACTTCACTTGAACCAAAGAGGTTGGCTGCAAAGGAAGAATCTTCTAATGAAGAGTTACAAGAACTTGATGAAAGGGAGACGTTGAGAAGAATGAGGATTTCAAAAGCTAATAAAGGACAAACGCCATGGAACAAGGGGAGAAAGCACAGTGCTGGTAACCAAATCTTTACTTTCCTTTGCTTCACTTTTCAGTCACTTTTTTTTATTTCATTGTGCATTAGTACTGTTGTTCAATGTTTGAGCAGAAACTTTGCAGAAAATCAAGGAAAGAACAAGGCTTGCAATGCAGAATCCTAAGGTGATGTCATGTAAGAATATTTTTTATGTCTTTGATGAAGAAAAATTTGATGCTAAGTTTACAACGTCCATTTTAATTGATATGAAATCTATAATGTAGAGTCGCTTGCCAGAGTTACAATTCTCCAGGCACTGATTGCACTTTTTATGCTCAAAGAAATTACTCTTAATAGGAAAAACTGCTTGAATTTTAGTATATACTATTATTTGTCTCTGGTGTCCCTAAACAGTTTCTTAGTTATGTTCTAATTTTATTGGGGATTATTGGGCAATGGAATCAATAATTAATTAGGTATAGATAATATATTCATGGAATGGTGACCAGGTTTTTCAATCACTGCTTAGATAACTCCTTAATTACTTTTTCTTAACAAAATTCGGTGATGCAGGTCAAAATGAAGTTGGCTAATCTTGGGCATAAACAGACGTAAGTGAATGCCTTTCCATGATTATTGTTGTTTGTTACTTACTAACAAATCAACGTCAACATCACCTTTATCCCAAGCTAGTTGGGGTCGGTGTGTTACTTACCAACAAATGCTGCTTTTTAATTGATTACTTCTTTTACCTAAAGAATTTTACTGGACTCAGCCTTTTTTATTGATTGATTGCACAGTACAGAGACAAGGAAGAAGATAGATACTTGTTGCATTGAGTGGCAGAATTTAATTGCAGAAGCTTCTAGACAAGGCTATGTTGATCAGGAAGAGCTGCTATGGGATTCCTATGAAACCTTAGATGAACAGCTCAAGCTGGAATGGTTGGAGAGTGTCAAACAAAGGAAACAAATGCAAAGGGAACCAGGTAGCAAAAGAGCACCCAAGAGCCCTGAACAAAGAAAGAAAATTGCAGAAGCCATCTCTGCAAAATGGGCTGATCATGTAAGTGTATATGTTAATATCTTGAAGTTGCATGGCTTATGGCTTTTACAGCAACCAAAAGTTTGCTAGTTCTTCCTCTTGGATAGCCCACTAGTAGAGTCTCACAAAACTGGGTAGAAGTTTTTATTTGTTTGTGATTGACTTGAAAGCTCTTCACACTGTGGAATTGTCTATATTTTAATGTGACACATATTTGTTTGTGATTTTTTTTCCCTGATTAAGATCCTTAAGATATTAATGTGACACATATTTTAATGTGACACATTACAATATTCACAAATTTTTCATCATTCAATAGTTGGAGTGGGGAGGAGGGAGTGCAGTCAGAATGTCAAACCTCAGAACCATACGTTGTCACCTAACACTCATTTGTGTTTGCCTTTGTTTCCCTATACCAAAAATGGATAGCTTGTTGATAGATATGTGTTTGTTCCAGCCTTGTCTGTCTAGTTTAACTTGCTCAATTTTTGTGGCACCAAGTGATAGTGATCTAGAATAGATATGTAAGATTTCTCAAAATACTCATATCAAGAACTAAAACAAGTTTGAGAACAGATAACATTTTTGGTTTCTCTGGGTGCTACTTTCTCTCTTCAGGACCTAATTGTATTTTAGTTCCAGTTGCTGCTTTCCTCGTGATTGACAAGACATCTGATAGTTATATCTTGGACAAATGGTGCCTTGGCCTTGCAGGCCGAATCCAATTTTTACTTTTTTAGCTTTAACTTTATAATATCTGGTTGAAAAGGTATCAGCTGGGTTCCTGAGTCCTGACCAACTTATTTTTCTGCAAATCAGGAATACCGCGGAAGAGTTTGCTCTGCAATGGCCAAGTTTCATGGAACTGAAATGAAACCAAGCAGGCTAACTGACGATGGACAGTCCACAAGGAGGAACATTGTAATGAAAAAGGATATCGATACTGACACTAGTGTTAAAAGAGGAACTGAAATTCCTAACCAGATCTGGTTGGAAAAAAGCAAATCTCCTGCCCATAATGATTGTTTGATGAGTTCAAAGCCGGAGATGATAAAGAGCATTAGAGAACAGAGAGCTGCTGCAGAAACCAAACTGACCAAAGCCATTGAACGAGCTAGGTAAACTTCTTTTCAGTAATATGGATCAGTGGCAGAATGTTATATTATTTTACTTCTCAATTAAATAAAATTCAATTGAATATTTGTGTGTGTTATTTTTCCTTAACTATTCTGAAATTTTGTTCTGATGAACTTGTGTGTTTCCCCTTCACTTTTAGGGCCTTAATAATTTGGCTCAGTGATGGGTGAGTTTAACGTAACCAATTATGTAATCTGAACTTTTTATCTCATACATGTTGATCATCTTAAATAGTTCAACTTTGTATTGTCGACAACAATCCTAGCCTTGAGCAAATCCATCCAGTTCTTCTTTACCGTGTGGCTACAAATATGAGTTTAATCATATGCTTCTTTTCAAGTTTGCAGGCTGCTCATTTTTTATATGATCATTGTGAACGCATTGAACATTGGTTACTTCTATTTTGCTTTTGAGATTAGCTCACAGAACTACGTGTTGTGCTTTCTTTGATTCCTATTTTAACAGTTACCTTCGATGCATTCATGAAATAATAATATGTAACTGCACAGACTATTGATTGCTGAAGCTGAGAAGGCTGCCAAGGCACTTGAGGTTACTGCTACAAAGAGTCCCATTGTTCAAGCTTCTCTCATAGAAAGTAGAAAGTTTATAGCTGCTGCAATTCAATCACTTGAATCCATTGATACACAAGGGTTAACTCTGAGTAATGTTCCTTCTGTTGCTTTGAGCAAGGTCAATGAGGAAAAAGATTCAGAATTTGAAGCTCTAAACCAATTACATATGGTCCAAGTAAACGGGCACAAAACCTCTTCATCAAGTGACTACAAGTTCTCTGAAGATTTTGTCAAAATTTCATTGCAGAAGTTCGATATAGGTGATTCAGAACTTCACCTAAAAAGTACCAATGGCTTTGCTTCCTTCCCTGTCGGTTTTAAGGGTAATATAGAGGAATCCAGTTCATCAAATCAACAAAGGGAAACAGAACTGAATCAGAGTAGTATTGAGTCCATTAAAGATGAAACACTACCTAAATCAGCTACTGTAACTAAAAAGTGGGTTCGTGGAAGGCTTGTGGACGTGGTTGAAGAGAAACAGGAGATTTGGTAGATCAAGCTTTGTTCATTTATCTACCTTAATAAACTCTTTGCCTTCCCCACTTTGGATTTTCCTTACAAACCCTCTGTTAATGCTTTGAAAGGATTAAGTTTTGGATTGTCCCTAGAAGTAGTCAAACCCAAAATGAGTCTCATTGTATGTAACTATCCTAATTTGGCTATGATATGTCAAATATAACTTCTTTATTATATATATCCAGTGGTTTATCTATTACCTGATTAGTTTGGTTCCAACCCATTATAGGGGTGATTTTTTAAGATCATTTTTTTTCATTTTTATCTCAAACTCGAGATATCTGATTAAGGAGAATAAGTTCCTTATTACTTGAATCAATTGTTATTGGTTCCAATTAATATCAACATCTTTATACCAAATTAGTTGGGGTCAATGACTGATGAACCCAAATGAAAAGTGCAAAAAAGATTGAGATAAAAAGATAAAAATAAAATTTAAAAGTATATATATATATATATATATAATATTATCCATTAAAAATAGCAATAAGTAATTAAAAGGAAAAATAAATTAAAATAAGTGAAAATAAAGACACATAAGAAGAAATTAATAGTTTTTTCTGTCATAGGAGAAATTATTAATTCATAAATAAATAAATAATTGATAGAAAAAAGAAATAAAAGAAAAGAAGAAAATAAAATAAAATAGCTGATTGTGAAGGTTTAATCCGAGATTATAAGGGTAATTGGATTTCTGGTTTTACATACAAGATAGGATCTTGCATTGCAGCCCATTATTAGCAGAGCTTTGAGCGATTAGAGCTGGTTTGAGATATAAATGCTCAGTATTTAAAGATTGAAAGTGACTCAGCTTTAGCAATTCAAGCTATCAACTCTGCAAATTCCACTCATGGACATTCTTATATGGTGGATAGTATCAGATAATGGACTATTCAAGTTTATCCATACTCGTAGGGAAGGAAATAGATGTGTTGACTAAATGGCAGCCTTTGCACACTCTATTTATTTCTTACTTACTCTTCAAACCCCACTAGGTTGAGTTCGTTATTGAATTTTGATAAAGAGTTTGATTTTTCTCGAGACAATTTATGTCATCCAACATATAAAAAAGTGAGTGAAACCCACCAAGAAAGAGAGGAGAGAGAAAAAGAAAAAAAAGTAGATCCCATCCACTTTTGTATGTGTTGCATGAGATAAATTATCTTATGCAACACGAGGAGCACATTTTATAAATGTAATGTACTATTTATGTAATTTTTTTCTTTTTATTTACTAAAAAAAAGTAAAAGAGAAGGTAAAGAAAGAAAGAATGGTTACGATAACGAATATAAACCAGAATAACTCACTACGAAAATTGAAAAATTGCCATTTTGTCTCTTCTCTACATGAAAATCTCAACCCCAATGAGCATCAATATGACAATAACAATGCCATTTTGTCTCTTCTGTACATGAAAATCTCAACCCAATGGCAATGAGCATCAATATGACAATAACAATGCCATTTTGTCTCTTCTCTACATCAATGAGCATCAATATGATAATATTATTTGCTAGATATACATTGTGTAACATATTTCTCGTATAACTATAATAATTAACCCCCCCCCCCCCCCCCCCTCTCAAACTATATTTGTAAAGCAATAAAGCACATCTGTTAGAAAAACATCCAACTCAGTTAAATTGTCATGGCAGTGTTTATCCTCTTTTTCAAAAGTTACTATTAATTCATCACGGTATCATTCTTTCGTTTGCTCTGCCTGTGCTGTAAAATTCCACTTTCAAACGGATGCTTTTTCATGGCTTTGGTTATTTCGATTTGTGAGCGATGGTCGTTTCTCTGATAAGAAAAAAATAAATAAAAATTCGTTATCTAATTTTATTGCTCTGAGAATGTTGGATCTTGGCATTTCTAAAAATTACTACTCTTCGGATTTCTAAAGAATTTCTGTTGCCACCACCGAGTCACTCGCTCACTCGCTCCCTGACTCAGTCGCCGACGTGGCTAACAAAGCAATGCACATGGATTCATCTTCCGACGAAGAAGATGACCGCCACAACCTCATCGATCAGAACGATCGGAAGCGTCCGATTCCTCTTCCTCCTCCTACCTCCGCCGCCGCCACCGCATTCCACATCGAAGATTCCAGCTCGCGATTCCGGCGCTTAGATTTCAAGCTCCAGAAGAGGTACATTGTCTCCATTTTCGCTCTCTTCATCGTGCTGCTCTTCTTCTTCGTCACCGATCTCCACGGCGCCTCCTCCTCCTCCTCCATCAAGCTCGATTCGATCAAGGAATCCGAATTGCGCGCCATTTACCTCTTGCGCCAACAGCAATTAGGGCTTTTAACCGCTTGGAATCGCTCATTTCAATCCAATGCTTCGAACTCGAATGGCTTCGAGGATCTGAAATCCGCGTTGTTCAAGCAGATCTCCCTCAACAGAGAAATTCAGAAGGTTCTGTTGAATCCTCATAGGACAGGGAATTTGGTTGAACCTGAATTTGATTTTGGAAACCCTAGTTTGGCTGGTGTCAGTTATGATAGGTGTAGAACAGTGGATCAAAATTTTTCACAGAGAAGAACCATTGAGTGGAACCCTAAAGATGGTAAATTTTTGCTTGCTATATGCGTTTCAGGTCAGATGTCAAACCATCTGATTTGCTTGGAGAAGCACATGTTTTTTGCTGCTCTTCTTAACAGGGTTTTGGTGATTCCTAGTTCCAAAGTGGATTACCAGTATGATAGAGTTGTGGATATTGATCACGTTAATAAATGCTTGGGAAGAAAAGTGGTGATTTCCTTTGAAGAATTTTCCAATGTTAAGAAGGATCATTTGCACATTGATAAGTTTCTGTGTTATTTTTCTCGGCCTCAACCTTGTTTTCTAGATGAAGGGTGGTTGAAGAAGTTGAGTTCTTTGGGTTTGTCAATGAGTAAACCTGAGCCTGTTTGGGATGACGAGGATACCCGGAATCCAAAAAAGAAGACGGTTCAGGATGTTGTGTCTAAGTTTTCCTACGATGATGATGTTATGGCAATTGGGGATGTGTTCTATGCTGAAGTGGAGCAAGAATGGGTGATGCAACCAGGTGGACCAATTGCTCACAAATGCAAAACTCTGATTGAGCCTAGTCGCCTTATATTGCTTACTGCTCAGCGTTTTATTCAGACATTCCTGGGAAGGAACTTCATTGCATTGCATTTTCGAAGACACGGTTTTTTGAAATTCTGGTGCACCCTTTCTTCCTTTATTTTGATAAAAAATAAATAAATCTGATAATGACCATATAAATTGATGTCTTGAGTTTTCATATGTTAACTTTAAACTTCTCCTGCTTGATCTGCATGTTTTCTGACAAGTGAATTGCTAACTGCATTTTCATGGCTAATGAGATCATCGCCAAAAAAATGGCAACCTTTTGCTATTAAGCTCCGGCTCTTTGCACCCTTCAAAAAAGGGTCAGATTCGCTGTGTGGGTCTATGGTAGGCGGTCTTACTTCTTTCAGTAGGCAATCTTACCTTGTATTTGCAAAGGTTAATTTCATGATTTGAGTCTGCGACCTTGGGTCACCTGGCGACAACACCAACATGGTGTGAGCTTTATAGCACCAAGTTGCATTCATGAGTCATGACTATTGCATTATAATTTTCTTTTTCATGCTCAAAGTAATCTCCTTGAATTAATGCCAATAACTATGCATGTAAGGCTTCTGCCTCAGAAGCTGTCCTGCAATTTTCCCCCCTTTTTAATTTTCCATCATATTGCCTCTAATGATCCATTTTAATGTTTACAGTAATGCTAAAAAACCAAGTTGCTTTTACCCCATTCCTCAAGCTGCAGATTGCATCTTGAGGGTGGTTGAAAGGGCCGATGCACCTGTTATTTATCTTTCTACTGATGCAGCAGAAAGTGAAACTGGTCTGCTTCAGTCACTAGTTGTTCTGAATGGCAGACCTGTTCCACTTGTAATACGCCCAGCTCGTAATTCAGCAGAAAAATGGGATGCTTTGTTATACAGGCATGGTATTGAGGGAGATTCACAGGTGAGATGACAGTGCTTCATTCTATTTTCATGTGGTTTTAAACTTAAGTCAGCATTGTAATGCCCTCAATTCACCATTCATATCTGGTCCTTCCATTCTTACATATATATAAATAAATAAAAGTGTTGATAAGATTGCGTATACCCTTTAATCATGCTTCCGTTTTGTGTTTATATTTGTGTGCTGCATCTGCTGGAAAGATTCTCGCTCCTTTTTTTTGCCTTAAGGTTGAGATTATCCGAAGCTTTAAGAAACCCTTACCCTTTGAAGTATAGTGAATGAATTTAATAATTCCAATTCTATCATTCAAGTTATCAACATTTTACTTTCAGGTGAATGAAAGTTTAAGAACTTTAGGCCCTATGGTATTCAACTTTGTTGGTTTCAGTTGTCCTGCAGTAGTATTGGCTTCAGCTTGGGAATAGAGGTTTAAGAATACTGGGGCACAATTTCTGTTGATTTAGTGTAATCACCGAAAAATTTGTAGTGGCTTATAATAAAATACTCTAATCCTAGTTGCAAACTTCTAAACTAATTACGTGGTTCTTTTCTCCCTACAACTTGCTCTAATCCTTTATATGTAGTGACTACTCGTTTAATTTCTTTTGCTGACCTGCATTATGAATATTTTCACACTGAAGGTGGAAGCTATGTTGGACAAGACTATATGTGCCATGTCTAGCGTATTCATTGGAGCCTCCGGTTCCACTTTCACCGAAGACATCCTGCGGCTGAGAAAGGACTGGGGATCAGCATCGTTGTGTGATGAGTACCTTTGCCAAGGTGAAGAACCAAATGTTGTAGCGGAAAATGAATGAAGATAAAGACGGTTTTCTTGTTCCGTGACTCAGGGCCAGACACGTATTTGGCCTATGATAGGTTTTATTCGGATTTGTCAATGTGAGTAGTCATGTATGATAATAGAATTAGCGATTTTATTGATAAGTTTTGCTTGTTATATATATCCTTTTTATCACAATCATTATAATTTGTATGATCTACACATTGATCCTGAATTGACCGCAAAGCAATTGTGGCATTTCAACATCCCATTTCTCTTTTCTCATTGTAAATGGAACCTATTATTGGAACCTTTGTATTAATAAGAATGATATTAAATTTGTGGCACTATTCCTCACTAGTCAAATTCTACCTCATATGGTTTCACTTAGTTCATTTTAGGCAATAGAAAAAGGGGCAACTTGGTGTTATAAAGAAGTGCGAAGAACTACTATATCATAACATAATTGGAGATTGCAGTTTGGTTGTTGATTCATATATCTAAGTGAAAGAATCACCGGTGTCTGATCAAGTTTCTTAAAACAACAAAGTTATTCCTTAATAAGAACGATGATGTTAGAATAGTCAGTTGACAATATTATTATTTGTACATATGCTTTGCCGCACCAAGTCTACCAGAAAACGAAATCAATGACCCAAACTTTTTGGACTGCATGTAAAATGAGGATTGATAAAAGATTTCATTTAATAATTGAACTCTTTAAGATTTTGGTATCTGAAAATTCTGCCTAACTAGCATTACTAAATTTATTAATAAGGATCGTATGTTAGATTTGTTGCACTATTCTTCACTAGTCAAACCCTACGTCATATGGTTTCACTTAATTATGATATCAATAAAAATGAAATCAGAGAAAGTAAGAAGAAAGTGATTTTGCAAAAGGATTAAAGTTTCTAATATCAACATCACAACTAGAGACTTAGGCCAATTAAACCACAAAATTGTCGAGAATATATCAAACGTAAGTCTATTCTATAATATTTAACCACATTGGTATATCAATTATGTTATTTTATTGTGACCAGAGAAGCAAGCAAAAATACAGTTAGAATAGAGCGTGAAGCTGACTGGGTCCACAGAACTACAGTAGCAACGCAACAACCCGTCGACGCGTGCGTGCCATTCTCTTCTCTCCCAAAAATCGAACCGGTTTGTTTCTATTCTTCAATTCCGCATCACTATCATCGTTAATTCATTCTTACGTTGGTGTGTGTTTGTGTTGTTGTGGCCTGTGGGCCCTTCTTGGTCGCTTTCTCAAAAAATCGTTATCCTTCTTCTAAACACTGATTCTCATTCTCTTCTTCCTTTTTACCCTTTTCACTTCGAATATACACGATACCCGGATTCGGATTCGGATTCGGATTCAGTTCCCTTCAAAGGTTGCAACTTGACCGCTATTTCTGTTTTCTAGGGTTTTACAGTCCAAAGGGTAATCGCATTTCTGTTTTGGGAGCATCACCATGAGAGCCAAATTGGTTGTGTTCCCAATACGAGGCAGGAACTGGTGTTTCAGCAGATCCATTGACCATTCACGTTCTGCTTCTCCTACTTCCTCTCAATCTCCTTCAACCTTCAAAGAGTTATGGAACAACATTAACATTGGTGATAAACCCCTTAACGCCAAAGCTGAGCTTTGTGCTGACTACATCGCCAATAAGGTGCCGTTTCACTTCGTCTATCGTTGTTTTCTCTTTCTGGGTGTGTCGTTTTTTACATGTTGCTTCGTTTGGTTTTTTTGGGTCTTAGATGAATAAGGCTTGGATTGGTTTGGAAAAAGCACCGGATGGATCTTTCAAAAATAAGATTCATGGGTGAGTTTTACTTTTAACAGTTTATTCTGAGTTTGAGCATTTTTAATTGAGAAAACCTTGTTTTCTTGCTCAAAATGTGATTTCGAGTTTTTGCAGGTTGGGTTTGTGGCTTTTGTCACGGGTTAAGCCGTCAGAGATATTTTTGAAATCTATACCAAAGGAAGTCACTAGTGTTGAAGTCATTTACCCATCAAGGTTGGTGGTGACCTTGTTTAGATGCTACTTGTATTTGGCTTATGGGATTGTATTGTTTGTTTGAAGTTTTACTTTTACTGTGTTAGAACTTTTACTCTCCCTTTTTGTTGGTCCTTTTAGTTGCTCATTTGTGGTCGCTAGATTTAATTGATCGTGTGATTCATTAATTACGCTTTGCTTGCTACTGGTTATAGTTTACTCATTCAGTTTTTTATATTGTTCAATTCTTCGTTACTTCTCTGATATTTGATATGGAACACTGTAAACTGTGAAATGAGAGACATACTTGTGCCTGCTTTCCATATATGAGGCTTTTCTTGGTTAGAATTTCATGTTAAATATTGCAGCTATCCCTGTTTGACAGAACCAGAGTTTCTTTTCTGTACTTATAGATTTTAATAATGTTGTATTCCCTATTTTAAGTCTGTGGAATAATTTCCATTTGAAAAGCACATTTGGGAACATGATGTGGATGAAAAGAATAAGAAAATTTGGCATGTCAATTTTGCTTTTTTTTACAATGTTTTTGCAGTTTGAATGCTCAACTTGTTCGTCGAAGACTAAGACATATTGCTATGAGGTAATTCTCTCCTTTTCTGCTTAACCTGGAATTTACTGTTGCTTGTGATTTAATTCTAAATGTTAATCATCGTCTTTCTGTGAACTGTTATCTGTTTACAGGGGAACAATTATCCACCGGAAATACTTCTATGGTTCAATTTCATTGATTCCATTGACCTCTGCATTTAGCGTACGAATGTGTTGAGTGAATTTTAACTATTGATGTATTATTGCTTTTGGGAAATTTTTCAACATTGTGTATTTTTGCTCTTTAATGTTTAATTCTTTCATTTCTTCTATTGATACCCATTGGTCTTAATTTTACATTGCAGGTTTTACCTTTGCCAAATGTCCCATTCTTCTGGGTTTTATTCCGCAGTTACTCTCATTGGAGAGCTCTTCAGGTGTATACTATTGCTAATTTGCAGAGTACTTGCAATCAGTTCTTTTTCACCTCCTGTTATTCGTGTTAATTTATCTGTTTTGCTGTCATAATCAGGGATTTTCTACTGCTCATGTCTGTCTCATCTTTCTAATTTCATTTTAGAGTTCCCTAATTGAGAGCGAGCCTTGGAGTAACGGTAAGGTTGCTCCTTGTGACTTGAAGGTCACAGATTCGTTTATGGGAAACTGCTTTTTTGTAAAAATGTAAAGGCAAGGCTGTGTATAATCGACTCTCACCCCGATTCTCGCAAGTCGGGGAGCCTTGTACACGGGGGTCTGCCTTTTTTTTAGTGCCTTGTTATACATAATATTATATTCTTGTCAAAGCTCATTAGGACTATCAAGGCCGTTGGTTATTCCTTGAAATATTGAGGGATTGAGATAATTAATCCTGTTCCCACTATATATTGAAGCTTACTGCCATTTTAATCTTCTAAAGTAAGTATAAATATGTATTCATGGAAGTTTGTTTGTAAATCCTGTTGGCCCACTTATATATGTTTCAAATGTAGGATGCTGGTACTGTAAATCACAGGATTTCCAATACTATATGGAAACCATTTGTTTTGGCAGTTGCATGCTGGTTCTTTTATAGTTGTCAATTTGTCATGAATTTTATGTTATCCCTCCTAGGTGTTGAGTTTCCACTAGGAAGATGTCATTCTTGAACCATAGGCTTTTCATGTAATGTTTGGAACTTGGTTTCTGACTCCATTGATGTTAAACTTTGCATAAGTCTTTTGCTCTTTTTTATATAAATTTTCTTAGGGAAGTGAGAAGCTATTTCAACTAGTCTCGGGTAGCTGCAAGAATTCAAACACTTGCACGGATAAGAAGGAAACTGAGCATAAGGACTCTAAAAACGAAACCCATAGTTCAGATGAACCATATTGGGTAAGTATTTACATATTATGCTTTAGTACTAATTGAAATATTGGGAAGTGAAAGTGCTTTCAAAGCTGGATTGAAAACAGTTTTACAAATATGCATCGATTATATTTTGGGCTAGTGGGTTCATAGTGCCCCACCTAGGCTTATATCATGTGTGAGTTAAAAACTATATTTTTTAAGCTTTTGGTATATTCAATCATTTTGTTAATTTACAATATTCTTGTATTAGCTGGAGATCAATTTAAAAATTGTCATTTGCTACCTATGCCAATTTTTTGTTTATTTTATTTATTTTGGGTACTTGCAAGCATTTGTTGTTTCCTTATTGATGTATTTCCCCCATCATATATCAATTAGGTATTGCGGCCATCTAAAGAGCTTGAGAAACTTATTCGTCAAGAAGATGGACATGACAGCCTTAGTCAACAAGCCATCGTAGAAATTTGCAAGACCTATGATTTGAACACCAAAGATGTTAAAAAATACGAAAAGTCTATTTTTTGATTATCAGTTTTGCGATGCAATGTATTGCATTGGTATTTTTTTAATTGAATTCACATGCTTTTCTTGGAATTTCCTTAACTTTCTACTCATAATTTAGGGAGATATGAACTAACTCAGAGTTATTAGTAAATTTTACTCGTGAATATATTTGTGTTTTGAATATTGCACTAACAAATATCTGATAGTGAAAGTTCAATTGTATGAATTTGTAAATAAAATTGTATTTGGTTTAGCATTTCAAAGGAGATAACTTTCCTGTAACCACCCCAGAACGATGTAGTCTACTAGGGGGGGATGGGGATATTAAAATGTATATTGTAAGAGAGAAGTAAAATTCTCAGTTATGTATTTTTTTTTTTTTTAAATCTCAAAATAACTTTGTTTTGGATTGTAGGAAATATTTCATTGTAACATGAGAAATACTTTTTCAATCGTATTTATGTGATTTTTTTTTTCTAAAAGAATTGAAATTTGAGAAATACCTAATGAAACTTCTTGGTAGTGTTTGGTTGAGGGATTCTCAAAATTTTCTCATCTAAGTCCATGTGGCAATCCTTGTTCTCCTTGTTTGGTTGAAAGATTTTATAACTTTTATCCTTCAAACACATTTGTCTATCTAAGTAGAAATGTGTGTTAAGAAGGTAAAAAACACTGTTGATGAATGCTGTTTGAGACGTGGTATTCTTATCAAAAACCTGAGAAATGAAAAAGTAGGTGAATACAATGACATTAATACCCCTCTTCTTATATGTTGCAATGGTACAAAATTTTATAAAAAAGGTTGCTTTCGTAAATTCCATCTATTTTTCCATCAAATTTTTATTTTCAACCAAACACACATTCAGGAATTTCACTTAATTTTTTTGGTAAAATTTTGTTCAACCAAACTTTTTTAAAATTTTCCTATCTAATTCAATTTCCCCGCAGATCCCTAGTATTTACATTTCCCTAGTATTATAAAATTTCTCCTCAACCAAACACCTTGGTTTTGTTTACTTTGAATGATTTGCACCTTCAAAATAAACCAAGATACAACTTGATTGGAATGATCACGCACGACATATTCGGAATTGGACTAAATCTATATTGATCTAGTTACGAGAGCTCTAAAGAAATTTGAAGTATATAATAGACTCTTTGAAGAAATTTTGTCTAAAAAAACCCTTACAACCCATTAAGTATGGTTTATTGTCATATTTATTTATATCACAATCTTTTTTTAATTATTAGTTTGGTTAAAATATAGCTGATTTCTTATTTTTAGGACATAATTATACCAGATTCTTTATTTTTCGTATTAAAAAATTGTTCTTATTTTAATGAAATTTAATTTTGATTTGTTTGTCCTTGAATATTATAAAAAGGCATATGCCAATGAGAATAATAGAACTTCAATCTTATTTACAAATTTAATAGTATTATCTTTGATTTTTTTTGAAAAACTAACAAATTTATCACAATAATAACGTGACATTTAACAATTAACTTATTAAACGGATTTCCAAAATTATTTGTGAACTTTTCGACTATACTAAGATTCTCACTTCAATATTGGTAGTGAATTTCACATAAAAGTAAATAATTTCTAATTTTGGTCACAGATGACCCTCTTTCTGGTAATCATGTTGGCCAAAAGGTTCAATAGACCAAACCGAAGAGATCTTAGCAAAGGCATTAAGCTTGAAAGGACAATAATGACTAATTTTTTCTCGCTCTCTTTGGAAATTTTTTTTAAAAAAACGAATCCGTTTGGATTATATTTTTTTTCATGCCAATAGTAACAGAAATCATGCCATATGCATCTTAAAAATAACAATAAACATAAGTAATTGAGTTTATCTATGTTGTTTATTATGTTAATAGAAAAGCTTTAATGTTTCTAAAGTGAATATAGATAATTTATCTACATTCGCTGCTAAAACGACGTTGTTTTGGGTTGAAAAATTAAAAAACTATAATAAAAACTATTATAACCCTAAAATAAATTATAACGACAAAAAGACTTTGATTTCCGCCTTAAAACGATGTCATTTTGGGCTCAATGTAGATAAGTTATCTACATTGACGGTAGAAAAAATGAACCCTAATAGAAATAAGGTGTGTCATTTTAAATACAGAATAATATTTTTGTGTTACTGCAGATAAGTTATCTGTATTTACTCCCAAAATGATGTCGTTTTGAGATTAAAAATTAAATAATTATAATTATAAAGACTATAATAACCCTGAAATAAATTAAAATTATAAAAACACCATGATTTTCGTCCTAAAACGACGTTGTATTAGGCTTACTGCAGATAACTTATCTTTATCTGTAGCAAATGCAGAAAAAGCGAACCCTTTTAAATAATTCATCTTCTGTCATTTCACTCTTACAAAGAAATATTTACACATTTTTTTTAGTCAATCTCATCTCTTTATAATAGTGAAATAATATAAAGTATATCATTTAAAATGATACACTTTTTTTTCCTATATAATTTTTTTAAATTTTATAAATTTATATTATCTTTTTAAATCTTATAAATTTTATTAAAATATTTTAAAATTCAATATTATAAAATCTTAATAGTAGTTTTTTTTAAATCATTATAATTATAGATAATCTTTTAAAATTTATATATTTTTTTATCTCAAATTAATTTTTTAAAATCCTAATCTAATACTTCTCTGAATATTTTAATACAAACTTACTGATCTCTGTCTGTTCTAGTTCTGAGCCTCCGCACCAAGCTGAACCACATTGCGAGTTGAGTTGAATTCAATCCTTTTTTAGTTTCGCTTCTCTCTGAAGAAAGTTTATAACTTTACTAAGAAAATCACAATCCGAGAAAGAATCATCAATGGCACCCGAACACGAAGACGATCTCAAGGACGAGAAGAATCCTCGACCACTTGACGAGGATGACATCGCCCTCCTCAAAACCTACGTAGGTTTTTTCTTTCTCTCAAGAACCCTAATTTCCGATTTCCCCCCTTTTTTGTTTTAGGTTTAGGAGATCTTCGTTCTTGTAAGATTCGTATAATGTTCTACTTGTGTTGTTTTATTTCCTATGCTATACCAGTTGAATCGTAGTCTAATTTGTAATTTGTTTTCAACTATGCTGCTATTAGGTTTTAATCGCTTAATGCTTTTGGGAAAATTTACTGCGTTGACCTACTTTCACTTAATTCTGATTCTGGATCGTGGGTTCAGTTAAAGTCTGTACCTTTCAACTTCTTGTTAGTCTTGGAATTCTAGGAAGTTGACGGTTTCCTCAGATAATTGAAAGATATGAACCTCCTCTTGGCCCTCTTTAAGATTTTGGTAGCATTTGTGGATGCCAAGAGTTGAGGTTGCTGGTTTTGGGGTTTGTGAAAATTCTGAACTAGATATGTGGTAATTGTTCATAAAACATGACGTAGATGCACAAAGTTTTCAACATTATTGTAGAGGTACTGCTTGCTTGGTTATGTAAACTTGAAACTTTCTATGTACCCAATCAATAGATTTAATTAAGAGTTGCTGAGGTGCTACTGATGTGTCTATGTGGGAAGTAATGATGATGTAGAGTCTCTTTACTCTGCAATATGAAAAGCTAGTGATATTTATATTTTGGAGATTTCTGCTTATATGTTGATAGTCGACTTCTTCTCGGTTTCTCCTTATAGTTGCTGGACAGAAAATGTTTTTCTGTGATCTGTGGTTTTCACATCATTACATCTGTAAACAGTCTTTTTATAATATATTTTGGTTTGTGCAGGGTTTGGGACCTTATTCCACAAGCATAAAAAAAGTGGAAAAGGAAATCAAAGATATGGCAAAGAAAGTGAATGACTTATGTGGTATGTGTAAAAGATTTAGTTGGTTACTGCATTTCTTTATTGCTTGGTAGATCATTATAGCTGTTTAAAATAAAGAAAATTACATCTTTACTTATCTTTTATTGGTATTGTGGTGTAGCTTGTGCCCTTTACTCTCTTTTTCCTTTTCGGTACATACAAGTGGACCCTTAACTGGGTATTTCTTCTACCTCTAAATGTATTATATCTTTAATAAAAAATTGAAGGAAAAATAATTAAAGCAAGGAGCTAATAATTGATATTATGTAGATGTTCTGTTTTACTGCATTCATACTTCTTGTCATAATTGCATGAACTGGATTGCTGTTAACTCTTGCACACTTGCTTAAATGTTAGCTTCCTCTTGTTATAATAGGTATCAAGGAGTCTGATACTGGTTTAGCTGCACCAAGCCAGTGGGATCTTGTTTCTGATAAGCAAATGATGCAGGAGGAGCAGCCTCTTCAGGTGATTTTTATTTATTTTGTAGAATTTGTTGAAAATGTTTTAAATCTCTGTAGGAATTGCTAACTACGGTTATTTATTGAACAGGTGGCAAGGTGCACAAAGATTATTAATCCAAACTCGGAAGATGCTAAATATGTTATCAATGTGAAGCAGATCGCAAAGGTGCCTAAATTTTTGAAAATCTTTTTATTTTCTCCTTATCTATCAGAAAATTATTTGTTTCAAGATATCTGGAATTACTTGTTGATGAAGATATCACTTGATGACCAGTTATTGTGTTTTCTTATTTATCCAAGGGTTTTCTTCTTCTTCTTCGTTTTTTGAAGTTGGGTCTAATTTACCTTCTACTTCGATGATGACAGTTTGTTGTTGGGCTAGGAGACAAAGTTTCCCCCACTGACATAGAGGAAGGGATGCGTGTTGGGTATGTTGTTTCCCACACAAGTAACTTTGATGCTAAAATGTTACACAGAAAGAAGAGGAACTTTATTGCCATGTTATCTGCTTGTTTGTTTGACCTTCATTTTATCATCTCAGGGTTGATAGAAACAAATATCAGATTCAGATTCCTTTGCCTCCAAAAATTGATCCAAGTGTTACCATGATGACAGTTGAAGAGAAGCCAGATGTGACATATAATGATGTTGGTGGTTGTAAGGAACAGATTGAAAAAATGCGTGAAGTAAGTATTGAAAATTTCCCACATTTTACTTTATAATAAAGGAAATAGGTTATGTGGCCCTAAATTTTTAATTTCCCTGCAAGGTTGTTGAACTTCCCATGCTTCATCCAGAGAAATTTGTCAAGCTTGGGATTGATCCTCCGAAGGGTGTTCTCTGTTATGGTCCACCAGGAACTGGCAAAACACTTTTAGCCAGGGCTGTTGCTAATAGGACCGATGCGTGTTTTATAAGGGTTATTGGAAGTGAGTTAGTTCAGAAATATGTTGGAGAGGGCGCCCGGATGGTTCGTGAACTATTTCAGGTAAATGCCTAATACCTATCTTCCGCTTTTGATCATTGTTTCCATCACATGGTATCGTTTGACTAAATTTTTTGTCTCCTGTAGATGGCTCGTTCAAAGAAGGCATGCATTGTGTTTTTTGATGAAGTTGATGCAATTGGAGGTGCCCGATTTGATGATGGTGTTGGTGGCGACAATGAGGTTCAGCGCACAATGCTTGAAATTGTAAATCAGCTTGATGGGTTTGATGCTCGGGGAAACATCAAAGTTTTGATGGCAACTAACAGGTTGGTTGATTTGGCCATTGTATTGTTTTTCGCTTTGTTCTCTATTTTACAGTATGTTATTATGAGAGTGCTTTAAGCACTGGGTCATTTTCTTCATAAGTATGATGCACTCCAAATGCCCTTCTTAAATTCTTTTTTCTCATAAAGTCATATTTGCTGAATGTCTCTGGCTCTCTGCCCATCCTCTTGTAAATTAAAGAAATACAAATCAAGGTCTCATTGCAACTTCCTTTGCAATTGTTTCATGACTGTGAGAGTGCTTTTCTTTAACTTGGAAGTTGTATTGCTGCTTAGCTGAGCTTATTGTTTATGGTATTTTGTCCACAATTTCTAGGCCTGACACTCTAGACCCAGCACTTCTACGGCCAGGGAGATTGGATCGTAAAGTTGAATTTGGTCTTCCTGATTTAGAGAGTAGGACACAGATATTCAAGATACACACAAGAACCATGAACTGCGAAAGGGATATCCGGTTTGAACTTCTAGCTCGGCTTTGCCCGAATTCCACTGGTAAGAGCATCTTTAAAAGTAGACAATTTTTAATTTAGCTTATACTTCTCAAACTTGTTCTGGTTTTAGTGATTCTTGCAACTTCCTTTGTTTTTCATGTCACAGACATTGGTTTTCTGACCGAGATAGTTTTTTGTTGCCTCCAGGAGCTGATATAAGGAGTGTGTGCACTGAAGCTGGTATGTATGCTATCCGTGCCAGAAGGAAGACTGTAACAGAGAAAGACTTTCTTGATGCAGTAAATAAAGTCATCAAAGGATACCAGAAGTTCAGTGCAACTCCCAAATATATGGTCTACAACTGAGATATTCTTTCATCTACTTTCCCAGAGCACCATATTAGCACGCACAGTATTTATTTCTCCCGTGAAAATTATTCAAGGGGCAGATGGTTCTTTCCTCAGTAGTTTTTGAAACTCTTCTGTATGGATGCATATTTCATGGTTGACTCTTACAAGTTTCTCTTGCAAACGTTTTCCTAATGTTACATCCCAAATTGTTTCTCGAGTCTTGTTGCTATTTTCAGCAAAAGGAAAAGGGTAGTGATTGTCCTTGCTGGAGGGTGTATAATTTGAGCAATTAAAAAAAAAAAGTTGGTTTCAGTTGATGTTTGGTATTTTAGTAAAATCTTCTTTTAATGCTTTAGAAAAATAATGTTATTAATTTAATTTTTAAAGTTTAATCTTGACAATTTAATTTTTCGATTCATCTTAGCCTGAGACTTAAAAAAGTTAACATAACATCGTATTAAAATCAGGTGTTTAAATATTGTAATTCAATATTTGTTGATAAAAAATATTTAGAATATTGTGATCTCAATATTAAAAAATTAACTACTCTGGTTTCTAATATAGCATTCCAAAATGCAAGTTAAATTCGATATTTAAATAATTAAATAAATAATTGTGATATTCGAATTTTTATACTTTATTAAATTAAAGTTTAAGCTTTTAATATTCTATAATGATGATGTTGCTTTTTTAATAATGGATGGTGAGGATAAAATATTGAGAAATTGGAATTTCGAAGTCCTAAATTGTTAAAAATTAATTCAAGAATGACTAATTTGGTAAGAGATACATTTTTCTTTTTGTAGAATTGTATTTGGTTATAGACAAAAGAATGAGCTTATGATCACTTAAAAAGATATAATAAATAGCTCGACTGTGTCTATATTTGACTTAAATTAATACTTCATTGGTAACACCTTTACTGGCTAAGTAAGTGACTGACTATTCAAACATCAGTTTTTCTTTTTCTGAAGAGTAGAATTAATGTCAACAAACCCTGCTGTTATTGTGATTGGAGATTGAAATTCAGGGATTGATAATGATTGAAAATCTAGCTAATAATTAATAACTGGGAAATGAGGTGGGAGAAGAACCTAGTGCGACTATAGTCCACCACCAAGTAAAAATATGCAACTAGAAAATATGAAAAAGTGTGGTATATTCATTACTCATGAAAACTGATTTTGTTTGGATAAGTTAAGGAATTGCTTAAGTTGAGAAACATGATTCCTTAGGTATCTTGAAGATTCAACCTAAATTTTTATTTAACAATTAAAAAATAAGAACTAGAGATAATGAGTTGAATCAGAAGTCTACCTTAAATGCATCCCAATGATTATTGCTTAGCCTAACGATTTTTGTTGTTAAATTTTTGAATTTTGTTTCATTAAACATAACTTCAAAGTGCAGTGCTATTCTTAAGGACAAAAAAAAAAACCCTGATAAAATGGAGAATTTCTTTGCTACCACGGTTGCACTGAGTTTTTAATGCTATTTTCATCACAATATAACAAATGTCTTAGTTTTGTTAAATTATTAATAAATAATATATTTTTATATCAAATAAGAGTGATTTTACATAAAATAAGACGTGTCATATTATGAATGAAAACAACGTTGAAAACACAATGCAACTGTAACACTGAAGAGTTTCTCGATAAAACGTGGTTTTATTATCTTTTTATTGGTATACCGTTGTCATGATTTTGCTTTCGTCACAATTAGTATTATCCAACTTGAAAAGTGTCTTTCAGAACAACGTGGCTCAATCATATGCTTACATGGTTATTTTGTCGTCGAGTGGTCTCATATTTAACCGTTTTTCAATAATTTTTTTCATTTACTTTTTGTTCTGTTTACTCCAATGACAAATAATAATAATAATAAAAAAACATAAAATGGATTAGGATATGGTAGAATCGTGCGATCTAACGTATGAATATGATCGTGAATTTAACTACCTTGCTTGTTATGATTTCTAGTTATTGACAACAAAATGTCAACCATGAATCTAAACCGATCTTCAATTTTTGCAAACCGTAAAGTTATTGATGAAAAGGTGCAATCAATGATACAAAATTATTGATGAAATGGTGCAATCAATATCACCAATAAAAGAAAATGCACAGAAAGATACATCAACCATTGTCTAGCTTCTTCAAATAATCAAAGGTGGAATCAATCTAACTCGGGAACTGTCAGAAGGGATAAAAAGAAAAGATGAAAATGAGAAGAATATTATTATCCCTTTTAAGCCGTTCTTCTATGAACACAGTGATTTTATTCCCATTTACATGTCTTGTGTTTCTGACTCCATACCCCCTCTTGGGGTTCCTCCTTGTTCAGTTCCAAATGTCCTCTTGCTCATGTTAGCTCTCTGCACTAATCGAACCAATGCTTGAACCACCTCTGACATAGGTGGTCGGAATTCTGGCTCCGGCTGTACCAGCAATAAAATTATATTAACATTAACATCACCTTTATTTCAAACTAGTCCGAGAATAACATAATAATGCATTAACATATTCCAATATTTTTCTATCCCAAAGGGTACCCTAATGGTTGAGCTGAGCACTTAGGAATACAATTGGGACTATCCATATGACTATATGAGTGAGCTACTCTTGTTGTGTAACCAATTCAAATAGACCCCCAAAACAAGTAAACAAAGGCAATGAAAATGTTGAATGAAACATGACTTTGACATTACCTGAACACAGAGAGCAATTACATCAGCAAATCGAGAAAGAGACTTAACAGGGTATAACCCTTCCAATGCAGGATCAACCATTTTAGCCAATGCATCAATATCATGGAGTTGAGGTGTTGCCCATCGAACCAAAGACTGCTCAAGTCTTGGCCTTGAGCTGTAGAGGGAATGTTTTAACAACCAGAAAAAAGAAAAATGAGAATATTATATCAGTGCATAATTTCAAAAAAAATGTGTAAAGTAATATGAATTAGAAAACATAAATACTGGATCATATATAGCGCGAGTGAAACAGCACAAAGAAAGAATGAAACTAAATGACCAACATTGCAAATAGACATATTCCTCTAGTTTTGTGTCTTTTATATGTATATATTCTGTGATTCTACAAATTGTAATCTATCAAATGAAAAATTTGTGCTTAATATTGTAAAAAGTGAATTCGAGTCCTATAAAAAGTAAAAATAAAAATAAAAAGCACTGTTGAACCTACAATGTCCATACAAATGCTTCTACTTTCAAAGAATATTTGAATTGTTTTCATAAATTAAACCATATATCTATATGTTCATGCATGTGGCCATTTATGTTGAAAGCAGGTGAGGGTAGAAAAACTGTTCCGTTAAAGGTATGTCAATCATTCACCTATCAAATGGCTTCCGTCCACTAAGAAGTTCCAACATTACAACTCCAAAGCTGTAGACATCACTCTTAAGAGTATATTGACCAGACAAGCCTACTTCGGGAGCATCATATCCGGATCCAGCATTATTGTTCAATACCTGAACACGAGACACTAGTTAGAATTTATAATAATTTTAGTATGTAAATTAAATGTCACTATGCAAAACGATAAATTGCATTTACTAGAAGCATAATCAATATTCTTGCATCACAAATACAATATCCATCCAATGCGATGCATCACACAACATGCAGATTTTCTTTTCCTTATTGGTAAATTACAATAGCACCTAATTGGTAAATTACACAACATGCTCCATGATCAAGTGGTCCGAACTTTGATCCTCTTTACCCCCATTCTTCATAATTGAGTTCAATTTCTTTTTTGGTATAATGGTGGAATTGAGGTTTAAACCTATGATCTCATGCATACTATTTAAGCCCCTCATCACTAGCCCAATCTTGTGGCTTATAATCAAGTTAAATTTTAGCACAAGGTAGGGTAGATCGTAGCCCAAAGGTCTCTAGGTGAGGGAGTGTTTTAGAAATATGAAACTAATCTTGAGCCTTCACCTAACAACTTCAGAATATAAGAGAGAGTTGGTTCTTGACAATAGGTAAGGCAACTAGTACCAATGCTTATTCATACAAAACATTATATGCTAAACCATTCGCTTTCTTTCCCTAATTCTAGTAAATATGGCAACATCCACTAAAGAATCAGAGGTTAAAGAAAAAACAATAATTTTTAAATTAAAAGACGAGAATTAGTAGAAAGACTACATATATAAAGAAAAACAGCAACAAAAACAGAGTAAAACTACCCCGGTCAAACATAATCACATCCAATTATAAACACATCAACTCACGGAATAAAGTTCCAAAAAGCTATAAAATCACCTGGTTTGCATTTGGAATATAGCTTGCCAATCCACTGCCTGAAAGATGAGGATTAAGATCTGTATCAAGCAATATGTTGGCTGACTTAATATTCTTATGAACAACTGATGGTGAACAAACTTCATGCAGGTACCTAGGAAAAAAAGCAAGTACAGTTAGGTTATTGTTGCTTGATGACCAACCCTATATTGTCTTGTTTTAGAACAGTTTAAACTTCTATTGTATTGTAAGTAAAAGTCCTTAGTTACTTCAGCAAATTGACAATTTCCTATTTACTGATATTGTGTTTATTTTAGAGCTGATTAGTGTACTGAATTTAAACTGAAATAAATTTTGTAGTCCCAAACTATTTTGTCCAATTTTTTCATTTTCAAAATTGAGCATTAGATTTAGTAATTTTTAGATATAAAAACCATGGGATTAGTGTTTCTCATGTTGTAACAGATAATTTTATCTTCTAAACACATATAAAAGTGTGTAGGACCCATGTTTTTTTTTTCTCTCTCTTCTCTTCACATAGCCCCGTACACTTTTATATTTGTGTAAGAAATAAAATTATCTCCTGCAACATGAGAAACATTAATCCCAAAAACCATTTATGAACCTTCACCTAAAAAGTTCTTGGCATGTATTTACTCCTCTATGACAAAGTTGACAACAATTTGACTCTTACCGCCCCTATTCTTATGAATAAAAGTTGAATTTTAGCACAATGTTGGGCCGCGTGTGTGCATAGTCCATGCTTCAAGCCCAAAAGGTTCTTACATATAAAATCATGTATAAGCATTCACTCTGGGATAGTTGGTTCTTGATAGTTATAATCCAAACATTTTCATCTCAGGGAAAACCAAGAAAAGTTACAAAGATGTATTTACAAGAAGACAATGGACAAAAAATGAGAAAGGATAACTTTAATTTTGAACCAAACAAGACAAACAGGACGACATGCAAGCTAAAGCCAAGCAAAATATATAAAGCAGGAACAAAGATAGGAAGTAGGAGCTAATAAGTCAATGGAAAACTATATTAACTCATGAGATTTAACATAAAATGGAATGATGCAAAACTTCCTTATAAATGTAATATCAAAAACTTCTATTTACATTAGCAAACAACTTACTCTAAAGCACGTGCAATACCCAAAGCAATCTTGACACGTGAATTCCATATCAATGGTTTACTATAGTCATCTGGTAGGTGAAGAAAGTCATGCAGTGATCCGTTTTTATGAAACTCATAGACTAGGAGGTGTTGTCCATGTTCTGAACAATAACCTACAAGCTCTGTCACATTGGGATGATGCAAATGGGAGATGTTCGAAACTATTTCTACAAAATCTTCAGACAAATTATTGGGAAGGACAGATGAATCTATCTTCTTCAAGGCAAGAACCTAGAACATTTCCAGAAATGAAAAAACAAAGTCAAAACCATTAATAAGCAGATGCATAGATTCAAGACATGGTCAAGGTCAACTATATAAAAGTTCATGGTATACAAGTAGTGAATACATGCATCAGGACTTAATTCTTTGGTCTTATATTTTTACAGACTTAGATCTATAAAGATGTATCATCAACAAATGCATTCACAAGCTTATGTATCAAAACTACTCAGATTTTACCCATTTCTAGGGAAATTACAGTGTCGTTACACTATTTTGGATATTCTATATCCTTGCCACCAGAAATAGACAAAGAAGTGGATTTGCAGCAAAAACGGGTAAGGAATACCTTTCCATCATCAAATTGAGCACGGTAAACACGTCCAAAAGACCCCTCACCAAGTAGTTGATCCACACTGAAGCTTCCGGTAGCAATCTGCAGGTCGGCAATAGAATATGATTTTACATTTGCAGGAGCTGTTATGGTCTTCTTCACAATAGTGGGCTTCTTTGAAAACTCATCCTCATCAAATGATTTATGACGATCAAAAGGTGGGGGTTTAAGACTTATTGTGGCCGCAGAAGTATCAAATGTCTTCATGTCAATTACAGACGAAGTTTGCATGGAATTCATTTCTGCATTGTGACATATTAAAATGTCAAATTGAATAATAACGTTGTGAGAGCAGAATAACTTAATGAGTATATATTAAACTGAAAGCATTAAGACAAGCTACTAATTTCTACTGGGAGGAAGAAGAAGATAGACAGCCCACTCATTTTCTAATTAGTGGTCAAGTTTGGCATGACTAATTACAACAAAAATACTATTAAAGCTTTCTGTAGTCTAGTCACCATGTAGGTCCGCCATGGGCCATGGTGTCACACATGCATCTCTCCCTCAAAAAAGCGTTAAAGTAATTGCTACTAGCTTGCCTTACAGTTACAGAACAAATTATGTGCCATTGAATTGCAAAACTCATTCATCAACAGAAAAATTGAGCATATAATAGTTAACAGTCAATAGAGAAGGTGCTTTTACAAGAATGAAGGGTGAAACTATAAAATAAAATGAAATGCCATGGATAGAATATATACAAGTATTCTAAAATAAGAGAGACCTCATCACGAAAGAATGAAAATGATTTTTTGGTAGTATGCAAGAATAAGATGCAGACCATGCACTTCGTTTGAAGTAAGAGGAGCCAAGGGCTGATTGTCAAGCTTTTCCCTATCTGAAAATGACTTCTTGGATCTTCTCTTCACCAGAAAGAATGCTACTATTGCCGCAACAACCAAGATGGAGATCACTATTCCAGCAACGCCACCGCCTCCTATACCAGATTTTTTGCCTCCATCACTTGTGCCTCCATCTGATGAGGTGCTATGTCCACCAGACTTGTGAGTTGGGCTTTTTGATATAGGAGGTGTCCCAGGAGGAGGTGGGGGTGCAGGTCCTGAGCTCCACGCATTACCATCCTTTCTGTCATTAAATTTGACCATTTTTAAGTTTTATAGAATTTATGATGAAAAAACAGATTCTTACACAAAATTGCTGATAATGTCAATGCTTACTGTAGGTTTATGTTTTTCAACTGTTCTGGTATCCAGCCAGTAAAATGATTGTTTTCCACATTCCTGACAAAAAAATTACAAAAATTAATACAACTGATAATGTACTACTACGGAAATATAGAAAAGGATATTCCACAGCTGTTATATGAAACAACAGATACATACAGACTGCCAAGAGGCAGATTAGCAAGGACATCAATGGTGCCTGTAAACTGATTGTTTTGCAGATACCTACACAAATGTAAACAAGTTAACTCAGAATACAATCAATACCAATAAAAAAAAAAGAAAAAAAAGAGAGAGAAGAAGAGGGAAGGTGGGGGGTTGGAGTTGGACATTTACATGGTGTTTATGCTTGAAAGTGAGCTCAAAGTCTGAGGGAGGTCACCTGTCAAGGAATTGAATGAGAGATCCCTGCAACAAGTAATATATATTATATACACCTGGCCCTGAATCGTCACCAAACCAAATTGTAGCATACTTTATAGTGAGTACCAAACAAACACAGCCTCACTGTGACTTGTGAAAAATGTGAGGATTTTTTAAATTACCAAAATCATATGCCATGCAATAGAGTGCAATAGCCATGTATAATGCATTATTTTTCATAGAAACATATAAAAATGTCTTAAACATGAGATCAGAAGTGATGCTGTGAAATATCAAATGCAAAAATGGTAGATTATCCACAACAAATTCCATAAAATAATACTGAAAATGAAAGGGATCAATATTTTATAGTTAGTGTAAACTTGATATACATCTAGACAAAATTTTGCATTGTTGAAGGGGCAGGAAGAAATCTCACAATGTAGAGAGGGAAGAAAGCTTTTGAAAGTTGACACTCAGTCCTTGCTGGAGCTGATTGTGACCAAGATTCCTACGTTATCAAGATTAAGTTAAAAAATGACTCCAGTTGCTCGAGAAGGAGGTTTATATAATGAGAACTGTACAAGAAGTCAAGAAGATAATTACACACAGGTCTACAAGAGAAGTCATATCAGAAAGAGAATAAGGAATTGCCCCATTGAAATTATTATTAGCAAGATTTCTGCATATAAAGTAACAAGAATGTTAGAAATTATAACATCAGAACAAAAATAAACAGAAAAGTAACAACATATGATACAGAATCATACAAGTGCTGCACATTTGGAGGAAGTTGGTATGGCATGGTGCCACCAAGATTGTTGTTACTCAGGTCTCTGCAAAAACTTAACAGGGTCACCACAATATTAACAATACATAGAAAACTGTATATATGACAAATGAGCCAATTAACTTACAGGTTTGTCACAGAGGTCAAGCCTTGTAGCTGGTAACCCAAAGATCCAGTCAGTCCAAGACCAGGTAACTTACTGATAAGAAGTGAAAAAATAGAAATTAAAATTTATCAGACATCTCAAACATCAGCACCAAAAAGCAATAACAAGCAAGTCGTATAAAGTGAAAGGGAGATTGTGACTTCACATCTCTGTGACTCGGTTGCCTGAGCAAGTAATGCCTTTCCATGACTGTCCACAAGGATCATCGCCATTTGCAGGCCAATTTAGCTGGGATGGTGAGTTCATACTTTGAAACATAACCTTTAGAGAAGCAGCTGCATCAAACATTCAGAAAAAGATAGCTGGCAAAGCTCAGACAACTATAATGGAAATTTGTATTCTAATATGTAGCCTTTCTGCACCACCATCCATTTTACATATTTTAAGATATATAGATTACACTCAAACTAATTGAATTTATTATGATAGCATATATAAATATATCACTTCCAAGCATAAGTGAACAAATTGACCATTGATCTTCTCAATTTGAATTCAGAAAATGTTCACTGAGACTGAAAACTTGATAATTGGTTATTATGATATTGACTATACATGAATAAACATTGAGAAAAAAATAACAAAAAAGAAACTCAATTTCATCAAGAATTCTGAAAATGGTACATTGCAGTCTCTTGTGTGGAAATGGCATGGATGTGAGATTATGAATTATTTATGTGCATAGAAGTACATGAAAAATAACATTACTGTCTAATGAGGAACATAAAGGAAGAAAGACCATTCATATCACCTGGCTACTTACTAAATTAGAGTAGATGTGAAATAATTTTAAAGCATCACAAGTTTGAATTTTCATTTTTGGGGGGTTGGTAGGAAATTTATTATCATATGTTCACCAAGGAAACATTTTATATTTTCAAAGTGCCACAGAGCAGAGCAGGTTGCTGGTTAAGTATGTAAAGAAGTGGATAACAAAATAAGAATAAAGATATGTACTGCATTGCATCAAACATGAATCATGAGATGCAAAAATGAGTAAAATAAGCTTATTTATTCCATGCAAGCATTCCCACACCTTAAAACGATAACTAGAGCCTACACGACTTTAGTGATTGATAAATCAGAAATTAGATATAGCCCAAGTTAGAATCCAGCGTACTAGTGGTTTTGTTTCAAACACTTTATGTGTAATACTTCAAATCCCATATCAGAAATTTGGCAGGTCAAAAAGCACTATATAACTCCCAGAACAAGTGTTAAGGTATAAAGCATTCAGCTTCATGATACAAGTGCATGCTGAGACCTACTGGAGGCAGAGTTAATGAGGGCAGCAGCAGTATGGTGGGCTTTTAACAATCCAAAGTGTCACTCACACATGGTCAATGTTTTACTAAGGTTGTTACATTTAGTTTCACAAAGCATGGAAGCAGAAGGAAGATAGAGCTGCATTGTTGCCAAATCTTACAGAATTTCTAGCTTTTTGTTTTTAATGCATTAGCCATCATAATACAAAAAGGACAAATTTGAACATCAAACAGAAAACACAAAAATATTGAAGACAACAAGTCAATGGAAGTGGAAGATGAAGACTCCCATTCATCTGTTACATTTTTGTGTGTGTGTGTGTAGCTTGAGTGGAAATTATTACAATAGGCATCTCCTTTTTAAGAACTTAGGAAGTTTATTCAACTGCACTTTAAGAAGAAAATTTAAGAACATGCGAACTGTATTATTACATCAAATTCTTGATGTTGGATCCATTGTTGACAACCGTAACTGTAGTAAAGATACAATCAAAACCCACATAAAGAAGTAACAATTGCATCAACCGACTACATATTACACATAACTCAAAAGCAACAAAAAACCGACAAAAAAAAAAAAAAACTCCATTTGTTGAAATCATTGGAAGACAAAGCATATGTCACCCAGCAATCTGAATAAACAGGAACAATCAGGGTAACAGAATTAACATGTGCCACTCAACAGATCAGCTGAAAAACTTCACATTGATTCAAAAACCAATAATAATAATAAAAAAAAACTTTTGCCAAATCACATTAATCTGCAATAAAACTGGCAAAGCTGTCCATAGAAGATGATTGAAAACCAAACAAAACACAATAATATTAATAAAAAAACACAAGTAGACTCAATGAGAAGTAGTCCTAACAAACACTAGCACAATCCAAACACATCCAAGCACAAAGCTAATACACAAGAGAGACATGTAAAAAGTGCAAACTTGAGAGTGAGATCAAAGAACACACTGACCATCATTTGGATCTGTGTCACCATTGATGGCTAGAATGCAGGTGCTGATGAACACCAGCACCAGCCTTGGATCCACCACCATCTTTTTCCTGAATCAATCTTTGCTCGCAAAAAATCTTCCTACCCAGAAAGCAAAAAGGATATGCAATCTACCCCTTTTCTCCAATTTTTAATTTTTCTTAATAATTATTTAATGGGGTTCATTCTTATATATGTTGCCACCATAGCCGAGTAAAGCTGGCAAGCACGAATCACCAGAAGAATCTAAAGTCACGTTATTTTTTTATTTACTTTATCACAATGTATATATTCTAAATATTTTTGTAAATTAATTTTTTTTTATTATAATTATTATATGCTTTATGATTACTATGATATCATACAATTCACAGGCATATTAAAAAGGGATTTATATAGTGTGATATGACACAAAAATTAAAATTAAATTTTTTAATTTTTATTAAAAAACAAATATTTAATTTATGATTTAAATTAAAAAATATAAAAAATTATTATTAATAAGAAAATAAATAAATATTTGATTTATGATTTAAATTCAAAAATCAATCTGAAAAATCTATATTAATAAAAAAATAATTAAATATATTGTTTAATATAATTTTTTAAATTATTTTTTATTATATTTCTGTAAATTACAATTTGGCACGATGATACAAAAAATTGGTCAAATTATTTTTTAAATTTGAATTTTGTTTCGTGAGTATATATATATTTTTTGGTACATAGTTTCGTGAGTATTTAGTATTTACTGATCACTGTAAAAATCATACATGTTTTGTATTTTTTTTCCTTCCTTATCTTTTATACGCTAGTTTAGGTAGCTTCCATAATGAACAATAGCCATTAAGATTTTTCTTATTTATTATTTATTTAATTTACTTTTTGTTTATTATATGACAAATTAATGCTAATTGTTGCATAATGAAATTATACCCACAAATGATGTAGTCATGTGGCTTTTTCGAGTTATTTCTGATAAAAGTTAGGTATTTTTTTATTTTTAAATTAATTTTTTTTGTTGGTTGAAAGATAGCCAAATTTATTCGTAATAAATTTCTTAAAAATTTATTCGTGCTATATAGTATCACTCCTATTATGTATTATATATACATTCGTTAATATGCAAGAAAAGGTATACCTGGCTTTTATGGCAACGGCTGGGCCAAAAGTAAGAGAAATCAATTACTAAAAAATACCGTCAACAAAAAAATGAGACATTTAAAAAAAAAAAAGACATTGATAATTTCTTTTTCTTTTTTTTTGTAAATCATTGATAATTTCTTTTGTTAGAGTAGAATCATTGAAAGACTTTTGAACCGTTGATCTTTTTCGATCTAACGACTGTCAGATGAGGTGTCAAATTCGGTGTCAAATTTGAAGTTTGACATCTAATCTGAGAGTCGTTAGATCGAAAAATATCAATGGTATCACATGCTTACAAATCAGAGTCGTTGATATTTTTCGATCTAACGACTCTCAGATGAGGTGTCAAATTTGACACCGGTGTCAAAGGATCCTACCTCAACAAGAGGTAGGATCCTTTGACACCGGTATCAAATTTGAAGTTTGACATCTAATCTGAGAGTCGTTAGATCGAAAAAGATCAATGGTATCACATGCTTACAATTGAGGTAGGATCCTTTGACACCGGTGTCAAATTTGAAGTTTGACATCTAATCTGAGAGTCGTTAGATCGAAAAAGATCAATGGTATCACATGCTTACAAATCAGAGTAGTTGATCTTTTTCGATCTAACGACTCTCAGATGAGGTGTCAAATTTCAAATTTGACACCGGTGTCAAAAGATCCTACCTCTTTGAACAAATGTCACATTTTTTTCTTAACGATGCCTTCGCTTTTTTGCAATAATAGTGAGTGATCAATGATTTAAGTATTGGAATGATATTAATGGAGACCATGATGTTTGTATAATATATAGTGTCGGTATGTAATGACGTGAAGGCAATGCAAGTTTGATAGTGAAATGATCAGCATTGCGCGTAAATGAACTGGGTTCAGGGTTCTTGCAATCAACGTCAGTGCCACAGGTTTGTGATTCAAAACTTTGGTTTCAATTTCGACAACTTTACTTTCTTCTCCCTTTGTCTCCAATATACTATTTTCATGTTTTAACATAGGCAAAAACATTTTTGCCAAGAAATGTTTATCTCCCAGTAAGATTTAGTATAATGACTTTTTTTAAAAAAAAAAAAAAAAAATTGTGGGTCTCACTTTTTTCAAAAGAGATATCTATGTGATAGACATCTTTCTCTGCCTTTAAGACAGATTCGACGGACCTTTAACATAAGATAGAAAAATAATTGCTCATGCATTAAAAAAATTATTTATTTTAAAAATTTGATTGGGTGTAAACTTGAATTGATTCCTTTATAAATTTTATAGATATGATTGACATAATAATAATTTAATTTAATGGTAAACTTTATAATATAATATTATTAACCTGAAGTTATTCGATGATATGAAAAAAAAAATAACCATATTTTAAAAAAATGCAAAGAGAATGAGTTTGAAACAGTGGTAAAATTATATTTTTGTGACTGAAAAATCACAAATTCGAATTCGGAAAATAATCTCATAATTATGAAAGTCAAAACTTAATGTGGATATTTTTTTTATTAAAACAAAAAGGTCTATGTAGAAAAATAATAATACAAACAACTAGGTCACGGACCTATTTTTTATTTTTATTTTTTAAAAAAATAGTCTTAAAATTTACAGGCCGTATCACTTGTAATTATAAATTTTGTTATTATTAATTCAAATGGGAAAGAGTGTGTTCATCTATGCCGTAGGATTGCAAATACAAAAATTTGCAAAAGTTTTTTTATCTTTCCTTAACTTATTATCAAATGTTTTGAAGAAATTAATCAGGAGTCATAAAACTTGCTCCTATATATTTTTGTATTCTAATTTTTTAAACAATTCATGTTTAATTTATTGCAATTGAAATTATTGTAGGCCTGATATGCCAGACCTATAATTTATCCATCACTAATTATAGGTTAAATTTATTCTATATAAACTTGACCTATTAGACTTAAAATCTAGCCTGTCATATTTATGCCCATTTGTACAAAGTAGTGCAAAATGAAATATCAATAAAATACTTTAGTCATTTTTTTATCTATCTTTTAATATTTTACAAAGTGATACCATTTTCATCTGATGTTCATGCGACTTTATTATACTATTAACTAATAAAAAAATAAAAACACAAAAATAAAGTTATTGAATCTTACACAAATGATAATACATTTTATTATAATTTTTTTGCATTTTTTCTTATTATTATATTAATAAATAATATAAAAATTCCAAATAATGCTCTTAATTTGATTTCTTTGCTTTGCATGAACTTTTTATAAAACTTTCTTTCCTTTTTATTTTACCATTTTCTTAGAGAAAATGTGATTTCAAATTTATCAGAGAACACTTAACTTTGGGTATTTTCCTTTAAGCTAAAGTCAATGAATCATTCGAATGAATAATCATGAGTCATCTGAAATATATAGCACAACAAATTACATCAACATCGCTAGAGACAGCACATATCGCGTTCGTGGAATGATCATTCAAATGAGAAAAACTTCAATTTACCAAAAACACCCAATTCGATATTCTCTTTTATTAAATAGGAAATTTTTTATTTTTTTTCTTATTTACTAATTCTTTTTTAAGTCCTAATTTTTTTTCTCTTTTATTAACACAGAACTCAGGTATTTTGCCATTGATGTTGACAGAATTATGGAAAAACTTTAGACAGAGCAAAACAAATATTTTAAAGTAAGTTTTCTCTAAAGTTATTTAACAATTTTGAGTTCATCTTCCAAATTTCTATTATATTATTTTAATAAAGTTATGATTTTTATTTATTTTTCATTTATAACCTTTTATCAATAAAAGTTATAAATTTATAAATAAAAGTTATAGCTTTATTGAAGTGCATTATCTTTCTAAAATAAAAGTACAAAAGTTGACCCATTAACATTTTATTGCTATTAATTGGGTGGTTGATAAGGACAACAAAAGTTGAATAACAAAAGCAAAAAGGAAAAAAAAAAGAAAAAAAAAAGAAAAAACCATTTCTTGTGTATCCCAATTTTCTTTATGGAACAAAAGGCTTTATTGTGCTGAGGAAGAGTTAGGAGTAAATAGTAATAGTGAGTGCCACCCCCACAAAATGTTGCGTTCATTGTCGGACAAGTCGTGACAAGCTGCCACGTAGAATGTCAGTTGTCACCAACCACCGCCTAGTTAGCTGTCCATCCAAAGTCAAAATCATACGTAATAACTAATAAGGAAAATATCATCTTATCTTAAAATTTTAGGTAATATTGTCGGATTAAATTTTTTGTCTATTTTTCTGTTCAAAAATATTAAACGCGTGAGTTGACTGAGTTCTAATAAAATTTATGAAAAAAATATAAATACAGAATTTTTATATGCAAACATTTAGGTTTAATGTTTGTAGTAGATACTTCCAAAACGATGTCGTTTTGGGTTGAAAAATTAAAAAATTATAATGAAAAAGATTATTATAACCCTGAAATAAATTATAATTATAAAACTATCTTCTTCTTTTTTTTGTAATAAAGAGGGGCAAAAGTCTCAAACAAAACAAAAATTACACGACGCGAGAACTTATAAGATCTACAGAAACATCCTGAAGAAGGAGCTCTAACAAAGGAGAAGGAGGAGAATGATAAACAATAAGATTATTATCATCCTCAAAATGCCTAGAAGCAAACCAGTGAGCACATCTATTATTTTCTCGAAAGGTGTGGACCCAACGAACATCCCAATCTTCAGCAAGTTATTTGTGAATACGGGAAACAACCTGAGAGTTTCTGTGATTGTTGCTCCCTTCTTGGATAGTGCTAAAAGCAATTTCTGAGTCACATTCCAACTCCACTCTCCTAGCAGCAGTACCTCAGGCCAGCTCTAAACCTTTGAGGATACCCCAGAGTTCTGCATCAAGAGGATTACAGAAACCTAATCTGAAAGAGAAACCACCCAGAAAAGCACCATTGTGATCTCTAGCAAGGCCTCCACAGCTAGCATGCTACCTAGATAGGGAAGAAGCACCATCTGTGTTAATCTTCAACCGACCAGGTTCAGGACGACAACA